CGTGGGAAGGAGAACCGGAGTCAGAAAACACGTGGGTAATGGCCAAAGATATCAATGACGAGGTATTGATAGAAATGTTCCATCAAAGGTTCCCGCGGAAACCTCAGCCTGTGGAGAGGTTCCGGAGGGAATACTTTGGGACCACTGAGGAGGAGGAGGAGTTGGAAGGATTCCCAGAATCGGAAGGGGAAGGGGAGATGGACTCGGAGGAGGAGGAGTGCTTCGAGACCAGGAACCGCAACAGGTGGAGAGAAGTGTTCGAGACATCGGAAGATGAAGGAAGTTCATTCCGGGGTTTTGCCTCCTCACCGCCCGTAGAGGAGGGGGCGAGAGGGGGTGAAGGGGGCCCTGGAGGGGAGGTGGATGTCAGGGAACTGCCATCGGTAGGAAGGGAGGTGAAAGGACTCAGACAGGTTGGAAGAGACTTAGCAGCTGAAGAGGAAACCAGCAGGGGAGAGAAGCTGAACTGAGGGAGGTGAAAGGGCTCAGACAGGTTGGAAGAGACTTAGCAGCTGAAGAGGAAACCAGCAGGGGAGAGAAGCTGAACTGAGGGAAAGGGAGCTGGGGGATGGCTCAGAGATACTTCCAGCGAAAACAGTGGTGAGGTTTCCGGACCTCCTGTAGCGACACCCACTCCTCGCCGGAAACTGTCACGCAGAGAGTCCAGAAGACGTGTTTCCGTTAAGGAGCTTTTATGTTGGAAGCGATTACGAAGCAACCACTGTCGGAATCTTCTAGTGACTAAGAGGAGCCATGTCAGAGGGGCTCAGTCACAGACAGAGGTTTGTGGACTTGAACAAACTCTGAGGGAATACGATTTTACGCACAAGCAGCTCATAATCCCATCACACCAGATTACAAGTCTACCGCTCTTAACCACTATACCACACTGGCTCACTACACCAGCAGATTCATGCAAGCACCACCACATGTTAAAATTGTCTCTGACATCTTGAGGTATGTAATGGAGGAAAGCTGGGATATAATAATAATAATAATAATAATAATAATAATAATAATAATATCTTTATTGTCATTGCCCCCTTCGGGGACAACGAAATTAATTAATTATAAATGTAATACAGTCGTACCTTGGATCTGAATGCCCTGAAACTCAAACGTTTTGGCTCCTGAACATTGATTGTTTCAGTTTGCGAACGTTCTTTTGGAACCTGAACATCAAACAGAGCTTTCAAGGCTTCTGCTTGGCTGCAGGAGCTTCCTTGCAGCCAATCAGAAACTGCGATTTGGTTTTCAAATGTTTTGGAAGCCAAATGGACTTCCAGAACGGATTCCATTCGACTTCCAAGGTATGACTGTAAATACATTACCCTAGAAAACGCATTTGCCTTTCAGATTTTGTCTGGTTTCAATTGCTCTGCCATACTTTGGAAATCATTAATGACTCTCTTTGATGTTTTTGATTACTGCGATACCTCTGCAGATTTTGTTCCCATTTGCGCTGTGGAAACGTAAACAAAACCTGCAAGAGCATCACAGCGAGTCATAGGAACAGGAGTGACTTGCTGTTTATGCATGTTCCTGCACGTGTTTATTTCAGTTGCAGTCTGAATTTTGGATTTTGTACTTCCGAAGAAAGCACTGGGAATCTATGGGCCTCTGGACACCGCAGGACTCCAGCTTCCTGCATCTCCAGCCAGCATGGCAAAGCATCATGGAGGAAGGGAGTTCATAATTTTCATATGCGATATCATTGGGAACTCATTGTCCTGGTGTTGAAAATGACTAATTACTGGAAGAAGAAAAGGTAGATCCAGTGAAAGCAATTCCTATTCTAACACTTGCTGTTTCAGAACGACTGCATCAATGGGACCCATTATTTGGCTCTAACTATAACGTATAAACATTATTACTATATCATAGGAATGGCTGCATAGGAAATTACAAGTTTCCATTCTGCTAGTGTCAGAAAATGAATGCACGCTGCTGCAGGCAGCAGAGAGACTGGGATGAGACTAATAGCCGCAGCACTCTCTAGCAAATCCATGCACAAGTTGGTAGAGGGTCACAATTTTTCCCTCTGTTTTCTAGCAGGCCATTTCAGTCAATATATTTCCCAACTTACTGGGTCACCGTGGGCCAGAAAAATGGTGCCCTGGCTCCATGCATCTCACCAAGCAAGGCTTAAGATCATGCTGAGCTGTGTGTAGTTAATCAGTTGCTAATTAGAAAAGGAAAAAAAGGAGGAGGCTGCAAGTGCCCTTCTAGCTCAAAAAGCCATGGGAGAGACTAGACTGCAAGATCACCAAGAGAATGAGTATAGTGCCAGACAGCTAACGGTATTTGCTGCCAAAAATAAAGACTCCAGAAACTCCATGTCTCACATATTATCTGTGATGGGCCTTTCAATCAGAAAGTGGAGAGGGAAGGGAGAAAGAGGTCCCGTCGTAAGACAAAGAGCGAAAGTGACAGAGGTATATAAAAAATATTGTTTTGTTCTTGTTCTGGGGCATGACTTCTGGCTGGATGAGGAAGTAAGCCTGTCAAACAGCTGGGAAGCTTCCTTTCCACATGCAAACCAGTTTGATTTTCAGATCCCTTTTGCACTCTGCAGACACAGTTTCATGGGCTAAAAAATTAACTTGGCTTCCACTTGCCAGCTCCCAACCCAAAGAGTCTCCCCTTTACCCCGAAATCGTCTCCTGGATCAGGAAATAAATCTTCTCGCATCCTTGCACACCCCATCCTTGGAAGCCCTGCTGTTGTTGTTGTTTAGTCGTTTAGTCATGTCCGACTCTTCGTGACCCCATGGACCAGAGCACACCAGGCACTCCTGTCTTCCACTGCCTCCCACAGTTTGGTCAAACTCATGCTGGTAGCTTCGAGAACAATGTCCAGCCATCTCATCCTCTGTCGTCCCCTTCTCCTAGTGCCCTCCATCTTTCCCAACATCAGGGTCTTTTCCAGGAAGTCTTCTCTTCTCATGAGGTGGCCAAAGTACTGGAGCCTCAGCTTTAGGATCTGTCCTTCCAGTGAGCACTCAGGGCTGATTTCCTTAAGAATGGATAGGTTTAATCTTCTTCCAACTGTTATAAGAGTCCCCACACAGCTCTCCCCTGAAACTGCATCTCCTCACGCCACTGCCAACTATCACTCCCTGACCCACCAAGAAAGGGGCTATAGCTCAACGGTAGAGAACACTCTTTGCATGCACAAGACCCCAGGTCTCAACCCCCAGAATCTCCAGGTGAATCTTGAAAATGCACATAAGGAGAGCCTTTCTGGAATGGAAACCTAGGCAGCTACTACCAGCCAGTGTAGACCAGGGAGTTCTTCATCCTAAAGGCCACATTCCATTCAAAGCAAACTCCTAGGGGCCACAGGCTATTGATGGGCAGAGCCAAAAGCAAAAGTGGGTGAATGATGAGTGTCAATTTATTCATGCATCCCTCTCTGTTCTCCACCCAGGCAAACAAGAAGCAGGAGCCGAGTGCAAGGAATCATTCTAACCAGGCAGAAATACAGTGGTACCTCGGGTTAAGTACTTAATTCGTTCCGGAGGTCTGTTCTTAACCTGAAACTGTTCTTAACCTGAAACACCACTTTAGCTAATGGGGCCTCCTGCTGCTGCCACACTGCCGGAGCACAGTTTCTGTTCTCATCCTGAAGCAAAGTTCTTAACCCAAGGTACTGTTTCTGGGTTAGCGGAATCTGTAACCTGAAGCGTCTGTAACCTGAAGCGCCTGTAACCCAAGGTACCACTGTACCTGAGGAGGGTACAAAAAAAGGCTGGAGCCTGCGGGAAATGGGTGCAGCTGGGGAGGGGAGGGCCTATGGCGCATCCTGAAGGCCAGACAGAGAGACTTTGGTGGGCCGCATTTGGGTCAGAAGTTTCCCATCTCTGGCACAGACAAATCTTGGTGGAACTGTGGCCTGACTCTGTATAAACTTCCTCTATGCCCCAAGCCCAGCAACTTTCTCTCATGCCTTTCACCTAAAGGTAATCTGAGGATAACAAGCGCTCATCAAGCTCTTTAAAACTTAAATGTCTTTTGGCCTCCGGATTGTCTTAGCACTTGCACAGGATGTGGGTTGGGTTGAGCTTTCACAGGAGGCAAGCAGGAAACAAACAAGCCCTTCTACCTTGTCATGTCGTTCTTCAACTTCTTGCGGTTTCCTAAAGCTCTCTGATGTTCGGAGACTTCTTAGAGCAGTTTCCACTACCGTGTTGGTAAACATGAAAGCCCTCCTGCTACCCAGCCTTTGAAGAGGTGGCACCTGGACCAAAAAAGAGAAGTCAGAAGACTCTTCTTGGGCTGGAATCAGGTTGCAAGTGAATTCCTGTGAACTGGAATGGTTGTGTGAAAGCAAGAGACACACAGAGAGAGTAATCTGAAGCTGGGAGTATCAGCAAATGGACAGCAACAGTTTGCTTCTTCTCCTTTCAGAACTTGAGGAAGTTAATCCCCTTTAAGAGCCTCTCATGTCCCCAAAGGAGCCCAGGTGACAACTAATCCCCTCCATCTGGAATATCATGCTTTCCTTGGCAGCTGAGTCATCTGTTTCAGGGTGGGCAGTCTCACCATTGCAATAAGCTGGCAAAGTGACACAGAATTCTTCACCGGGGCAGAGTTTGCACGCTCTTAAATCAACAGAAACTTGCATAGCAAAAGGGCCTCACCTTGCTGATTGCACGCCACTTTATTCTCAGGGATGACACGGCCGCTGCTATCTGCAGCAGATAACAAGTCCAATGGAATCTGCTAAGATGCACGCAGTACGTATATTAGCCTTGATGCCAAATATTGGTCCAGTTCTTTGACCAACAGAGTCTCTTTTTAGACTTAGAGAAGGCACTCAACAACTTAGAAACATAGACTCATAGAGCTGGAAGGGACCCAAGGATCATCTAGTCCAACCCCCTGCAATGCAGGAATCTCAGCCAATGCATCCATGACAGATGGCCACCCAACCTCTGCTTAAAAACCTCCAAGGAAGGAGAGTCCACCACCTCCCAAGGGAGACTGTCAGAAAGTTTTTTCATATGTTTAGTCGGAATCTCCTTTCCTGCAACTTGAAGCCATTGGTTAGGGTCCTACCCTCCAGAGCAGGAGAAAACAAGCTTGCTCCATCCTCCATGTGGCAGCCCATCAGATATTTGAAGATGGCTATCATATCTCCCCTCAGTCTCCTCTTTTCCAGGCTAAACATACCCATCTCCTTCAACCATTCCTCATAAGGCTTGGCTTCTAGACCCTTGATCATCCTAGTTACCCTCATGGGCACACATTCCAGCTTGTCAACATCCTTTTTAAATTGTGGCACCCAGAACTGGACACAGTATTCCAGGGAAGGGTGGGAAAGAAATTTGATTCAGTTCCCCATTCAAAGGAGAGCCAGCCGAACCTACACTGAAACATGGGGCATCCTTCAAAATTTACACATCTGCAAATTTCGCAGCGCCATCCTCTAGGCAAGTAATGTGTACAAAGTGGGCATACGAATGTACAGATTTGTGAAAATAACATGCAAAAATGCATTACAGTGGTACCTTGGGTTAAGTACTTAATTCGTTCTGGAGGTCCGTACTTAACCTGAAACTGTTCTTAACCTGAAGCACCACTTTAGCTAATGGGGCCTCCCGCTGCCACTGCGCCACCGGAGCACGATTTCTGTTCTCATGCTGAAGCAAAGTTCTTAACCCGAGGTACTACTTCTGGGTTAGCGGAGTCTGTAACCTGAAGCGTATGTAACCTGAGGTACCACTGTACATCAGGGGAAATTGCTTTGCAAAACTCTGCTTAATGGGCAAAGTTGCATGCGAATGCTTGCATGTTGCGGAAAATTCACAAGGAAATGCTGATGAAAAAATGCATGAGGGCTTGTTGGCGAGGGAATTGCAAAAGGGTGAAAAGGTGGAGAACTGAATTTAAGAGTTGGGTGAGGGTGGGGAATGGAAACTAGGTGGAACTGAAATCAACAGATTTGGCCATCTCAGGCTTCAGATCACTGGGCTGGGCACCCCAGTGCTGTGTCCACTTCTATTTCTCACTGCCCAAATTGGTGGGACCCTGCCCAGAAAAAACTTACTGGAGAAGGGCTGTATCAGGTCCCTAGGCTGGGAGTCAGCCATATCACCAGAATAGCCCTGACAACTCAGTTGGTTAGAGCACACTGCTGATAACGTCAATGTTGCAGGTTCGACTCCCGTTTGTTCCTCCATTGCAGGGGGTTAGACTAGATGATCCTCAGGGCCCCTTCAAACTCTACAATTCTATGATTCTATAGGTTTCTGCAGAGCAAGGATATAGGTATCCTTGGAGCATCTCTGGATGCACAGTCATGAATATAATCAGCTGCCTGTAAGCAAAACATACAGTACAAAAAAAGAGAACTGTACTTTTCTGTTATTGATTTTTTTCTGGGGTTCCACTTGTGGCAAAGATAAGCTTTTGCATATGTGGCATCTTTATTTTTAGTTTAATGGCAAGTGTTGCATTTATTTAATAGCAAGCGCTCCTCACACTTGTCTGTTTAAATAGCTCTCAACACGCAAATATTTTCCCAGAGCATCGGTGTAATTAATGTATAAATAAACCGCATTTTCTTCTAAGTGGCTGACATATGTTTATGAAATATTTGCCAGCACGCAGCTGCTGAGGCTGACTCCAGCGCCATCCAGCAATGCCACCGTTTTGGAATCTGTCTACAGCAAAATGCCACAAAGAAGAATGGGAAAACGGGTGAGTGGGAAAGGATTCCAGGGTGCGGTGCCATATGGCATTGGGCAAAGCTTTCTTGATGGAGAGCTGCCTTGTGCACTAGTCAAACTGAACGGGTGCAAGAGAATTGTTGCCAGCTACAAAGCCTTTTCCAAATGCTCAGAAGTGTGAAAGCACAAGTTTTTGTTTCGTGTCTGTTTGTTTTTTTAAAAAGAAAATCCAAGCAGACTTTGTGCATTTAATAGCAGCATGATGGGCAGAAATTCAGGCGGGAAGCTTCACCTGTTCAATATCTGCCCGTTGTTTGGTTATTTAAAACAGTGTGTCATTGCATGGCAACCCAGCACCCTTCAAAAACTGCATTTCTTTGAACTTTGCAACGCCATTCTCCCGCCAGGTAATGCGTACAAAAGCGCACATATAGTAGGTCTGCAACTTATACGGTGAATATGTTCCAAAATCACATATAGTCAAAACCCATTGGTGGGTGGGATTGCCAAAGTCTTTTTTCCTGGACAACTGCCCTCTTTCTGCCCACTTTTTATGCATTTATTTATTTATTTGCGGAGCACATAAAGTTGAATGCACACAACTTAAATGTGCATAACTTGAGGGCTTACTGTGCATCAAGGTGTACATCAAAATGCATGTATTGGTGAAAGATAAATACAAAAGTATGTTATATTGGTGGGTTTTTTTTGCAAAAATAATAATAATGTATTTAACAGGCAATATTGCATACAAAAATGTGAAGGTAAAGGTAAAGGGACCCCTGACCATTAGGTCCATTAGGTCCAGTCATGGCCAACTCTGGGGTTGCGGCGCTCATCTCACTTTATTGGCTGAGGAAGCCGGCGTACAGCTTCCGGGTCATGTGGCCAGCATGACTAAGCCGCTTCTGGCGAACCAGAGCAGCACAGGGAAACGCCGTTTACCTTCCCGCCAAAGCAGTACCTATTTAGCTACTTGCACTTTGATGTGCTTTTGAACTGCTAGGTTGGCAGGAGCAGAGACCAAGCAATGGGAGCTCACCACGTTGTGTGGATTCGAACCGCCGACCTTCTGATCGGCAAGCCCTAGGCTCTGTGGTTTAACCCACAGCGCCACCCGCGTCCCATTACAAAAATGTAGATTCCCACTAAAAACACTGATGAATTTTCATGAAGCCTTTCTGAAACGTCAATAAATCAGAAACCAAGGTGGAAATGCCAAGAACTGGACTTAAGTTTGGAAAAATAGGAATGTGAGAGAAACCAAAATGGGCAGATTTGCGTGTAGCTTCTGGCTACCACTAGTTGAGCTGCTGAGATCCTGCAGACATGTAAGCTGGCAGAAAGGTCTGTGGAGCGAAGAGCAGGAGAAGGAAGGGACTTGGGAAGGAAAGGGGAAGGAAGTCAAGGGTCACGGCAGTGATGGCCAAACTTGGCCCTCTAGCTGTTTTGGGACTACAATTCCAATCATCCCTAGCTAACAGGACCAGTGGTCAGGGATGGTGAGAGTTGTAGACCCAAAGCAGCTGGAGGGCCAAGTTTGGCCATCACTGGGTTAGGAATTGGGGTGAAATCAGGTTCACTTTGCATTTATTGCCCAACTTGCTGAATGGACACTTTTCAAAAGAATATGCAAACTGAAACACAGTTCATCCTTCAAAATGTGCACATCTCAGAATTTCGCAGTGCAGTTTTTGAGCCAAGTAATGCATCCAAAATACATCACACCAGGGTAAAGTGTACATCAAAATACATGTATTATTGAAATTATACTTTGTATGCATACAAAGATGCTTATATGAGGAGAAATTCACACTAAAATGGTGCTGGGTTTTCAAAAGGACTTTTTAAAAAAGTAAAAAATGGCAACTTCATTTGAAAACGGGGAGAACTGAACTCAATATTGGGGGGCGGGGAGGAAGGAATGGAGAGAATCAAACCTTTTTGAGCCCTAGCTAGGCTTGGAAGGCTTGGAAGAGTGAGAGGTATAGAGGACTTAAGGGAAGAAGAGGTCAACAGAGCATTCATTTCCGAAAGGATACACTCACTCTGGTGCAATCTTTCCCCATAAAGTGACAGAATCGCCAAAGAAACCCAAACAGGTTTTCCCCTTTCATTTTGAAGGTCACCTCTTCTGACACCTTTGTTGTGTGCTATAAGCACTTCTTATGAGCTAGACTGAGGAAGTCCGGAGGGAGCAGCAGCAGTCGATACTCAGAGCGTCTCATCACCCATCAGCACTTCAGTGGCAACAACCTCCGACATCCATTGGTCTCATGATCTATGGAAGGAAAGAGGAGAAATGCTAGGCAGGAGATTCTGTCCAAGCAGCAGCATGGAAAAGATGTTTTTGTTTGTGGAAGGGACAAAATGCCATGGAAGTTATCACCAGGGCAAACATTCAGGGCCCTGCCAGACGGGTGTTTTTCATGGGTGTATTCTGCAACATGTCAATGGCGCAATAATAGTGCATTGAGCCCTTCTGTGGTTTCCAGCAACTGGTATTCAGAAGCATTAGTGTTTCTGAATGTGCTGGCAGAACTCAGCCATCATCACTAGTAGCCTGATCCAGCAGGATCTTCTTATGCCCTTAAAGGTAAAAGGTAAAGGGACCCCTGACCATTAGGTCCAGTCGTAACCGACTCTGGGGTTACGGCGCTCATCTCGCTTTATTGGCCGAGGGAGCTGGCGTACAGCTTCCGGGTCATGTGGCCAGCATGACTAAGCCACTTCGGGAGAACCAGAGCAGCGCACGGAAACGCCGTTTACCTTCCCGCCGGAGCGGTACCTATTTATCTACTTGCACTTTGACGTGCTTTCAAACTGCTAAGTTGGCAGGAGCAGGGACCCAGCAACGGGAGCTCACCCCGTTGCGGGGATTCAAACCGCCGACCTTTTGATTGGTAAGTCCTAGGCGCCACCCGCGTCCCTTGCCCTTAAAGGACACCCCACTAATTCACTCCTCACCGCCTCCATGCCATAGGAGCCCACATTTACAGAACTGGGCAATGGGCCTTTAAAAAAGGAGGCAGGTCTTTAGAGCGAGGCGGCCCCAGTAGGATGTTCAAGACCACTAGGTTTAATAAGGCCACAGAAGCCTTCAAAAAGTGAGCCCTAGCTAATGCTGGGCACCCTGAGCTGTCCAGGGTGCTGACAAGTTGCATTTTGACCTGCTGGACATCTTGCAATGCTGGACCTGACTATCAGATGTGCCTGTCTTTATTTTATTTATTTTTTTAATTTAAATTTATGTCAGAATTTTTAAATGTTAAATTGTGATCTCCAGAGCAGGGGAAAACAAGCTTGTTCCCTCTTCCATGTGGCAGTACTTGAGATATTTAAAGATGGCTATCATAGCTCCTCTCAGCCTCCTCTTTCCCAGGCTAAACATACCCAACTCCTTCAGCCACTCCTCATAAGGCTTGGTTTCTAGACCCTTGATCACCTTGGTTGCCCTCTTCTGCATTAATTCCAGTTTATCAACATTGTGGTGCCCAGAACTGGACAGAGTATTTC